ATGGGTATCGTCTGGGAGGTTGGTTATTTTAAACTTATTTAAGACGTCCCAAAACTCATAAACGTATTTATAACATGGAAAAAACACGTAGAACAAATGCGCTCGCGTAGGTGCTCGCAAATGGACAGGAAAACAGACACAAAGGATTGTATTAAATTCTCCTCGAATTTATTACCTCTTCTGACGACAAGTACAAACGATCTGTGAAATGTGGGAGACACTTTAAGCTTTTATTCAACTGAGAAGATTGCAAAGCAAACAAGAACCGAGGTAAGTCTAGACTATACAGCTAGACTTTCGGGGAAATTATTCTCCCGGCTGCCGCATGAATAGGCGCTGCATAATTCTACGGATAACCTAGAAGAGTACGCGTAGAAGAGCGGTCAATCGTTGCCAACACGTATTTTGCAGTGCACTTACCATAATAATAGCGGACTTGACAGATGTAATCCGTGATATTTGTCGTCACGGTCAAAGCAGGACAACCACACAAATACAAAAAACGAGAAGGAAGGCTCGTTGAAGTTTCAACACGATGCGGCGCACAAGCTGTCATTTGCCGAACCCAGCCAAACAGCAAGAATTCCTGACTTTGAAGAATCGCTTGTCGCCGATATACGCGTAGGACTTTTCGAACATTTGGTGCACATCCCATACGTTGTCCAGAGACATTCTTATTAGACCGCAGGGAAAGGCGGCAGATCGAAGCAGGCAGGACAAACGAAGTTGCAACGGAAACCAAGCAGACAAAGAAGCACGCGACTGTCAACGCGCGCGCAGCCGGATCTGGCTATGCTTATCAGCGTGAAGTGTGCCCTACCCTCTCTCTGGTCACGTGACAGAGCCGACCAGAGAGGAGGAAGGGGGCGACAGCGAGGTCAAGGAGCAAGACACCGGGATACCACACCCCCTCATTCGCAACCCTCTCCCTCATGCATTCTATAAAAAAAAACAAAAAAACTTGCGGTTATTTTTTTGTGGCAATGCAGTCAATGCTAGGGGAGAGGGTGCACGAACCGCTGTACACGCGCTTTTCTTCTCTCTTGGAGTTGCCACTGCACGTCGCGTTTGCAGCCTTGGAAAGCAGGCGAAACGCGCGCATTTCAGCACGCACGCTGGAAGTGGCGTCGGCCATGAGCTCGTCTTGCGCCCGAGCCAAAAAAGCACCCAGCGCGAGCTCGTTTTTTGACTGCTGCAAGGGCGGGCGTGCTCTCGCAATGCTCGATGTTCTTGCAGGCACGTGTTCGCGCTACCTTCGCCGCGTCTTGAAATGAAGTGAAACGGACTCTACAAGTACATTCTTTCATGCGGTAGCGTCTTCTGCGAGAGAGATTCGAGCTGAATAAGAAAATTGAGGCAAAAAAGATGGACAAAGTTTTAAAGTTCTGTCAAAAATATCGGCTCACCAACGTCGCGCGTTTACGTAAAAAAGAAAAAAAAAGAAAAAAATGTGTTCGTTTTAGTTCAGTATAAGCGCACATCAGCGCACTTAAAATATAAATACAATTACTTGCATTACGCGGAGGATCTGAAATCAGCCAGCCTTCCGGAAACATTGGCTGCCACGGCTCAAACAGCTAGGCGTGCCCAGGCCGCCGATCTGTACGTTCAATATCAAACGGGCTCCCGAGAGCCGTTTGATTAAACCGGTACAGTTTGACGGTCCGGTCACCCGCTTGTGCAACATGTTCACCGGTTTGAGCAAACGTGCGACAACTTTGCCCAAACGAGTCGCCCATTTGCCCCGACGAGTGACCCGTTTGCCAAAGAAGCGACATGTTTGCCCAAATAAGTGACCGTTATGGCTCATACGGGGGACCCCATGGAGCCATACGGGCGACCCCTTTGGCAAACTGGTGACCGGTATGGCTAAACTGTTACCGGTATGGACGCGTTTGTTTTCATACAGGCGCCAAATGGTTTTTTTCAGTAGCGTACGCATACGAGGATGTGTGGAAACTCGGCGTTTATTAGTGATATGCCTCTATACATCCCGCGTGTCCTTTTCTTCTCGCCCCTATCCATGGTGTCTTCTTTTCAGCGACACACGTTATAGGGATTTCCCAGCTGCATTCACGGCGTCGGCGTTGTGCCATACAGAAAACTCTGTCTCGTGCACTTACCCGTGCACCTCTTCGTTACGACAGGCGAGCAAGGCGCGCCACCTTTTGTCTTGCCAGGCGGCAGTCTTCTACTTTTACGGTTGGCGGCAGCTCCGCTAGTCAATCATGACCTTAGAGCTCTATATGCATGTACAACCAATTACACAATCGATCCTCCATCTGCAAAGACACCCGTGCTCATTTATTTTAGACATTGGCATTGACTCCTACGTGAAGTCTGTTTCCTTGCCTGAATACTTTAGTGGCCAAATGTGATCGAGTAAATATTAGGTGGATATGCGTAAAACGGGTTGTTCACCACGTGGAATAACAGCTATTTCTCACTTTTTTATTTTGTGGATACTGCGATATCAATTGAGGACATTGAAGGAATGCAAGACAGGGCTTAAAATAAATCAATATTAAACGAGAAACAATAGCATAACACTAGAAATATTGTTCAACAATCATGCGTCAAGGCCAGAGAAGTTTCCCTCTTTCTAATATAATGTCATCATTGTGAAGCATGCGTCTTGATTGCTTAGCAATGTTCCATAGCTCAGCACTGCGTGAAAAACATAAATTTAACTCGTTTGATATGCGATTGGTATGGAACACTGTTCAAAGTTTGAGACCTTCTGGTGCGAGTGAGATCTGAGACATTATTTTAGTTCATGCGCTACTTGCCATGATCCTCATTAACAATTTTGTTAAACATTTTTAGTCACTCGACAGTCCTCATGAAAAACGAAGTTTCAATTCCCAACACTATTATAACTGTCGATGATGAGAACTGTTGATCATATCCACATATTCCTAACAGCCTTAGCCTGGAATGAATCAACAAGATTAATCTCATATTCTTTGATAAGAACCCCAGACAACAAATTCATATTCCAAAAGCGACCGAAGGAGAGTTTTAAACGCGGTTATTTGACCTCTTTAGAATGATACTTTGAAGTACGTTCGACCTTCCCTAGCCGTCCAAGGGCGCGAGAAGAAATGAAGTTAACGTGCTCGTCCCATTTCAGGGGGGGAGGGGGGGGGGGGGGGCGTAAAAACTTCACTCTAGCATCTGAATTCATAATCCTTATAAGAAACAGTATCACCACTGCCATTGCCAAAAACACAAAAAAAACGTGTTTTTTTTTCTATTTCTAAACGCCATGAACACTGACTTGTCGAAGTTTTTTTTTCATCTGCCATTTGTCGTTCAGGAAAAGAAACGCTCGAAGGATTCGTAAGGGGAGAGTTCATCATTTTCGGAAATATCTCCATTCTACAGAACGCAATCGTCAAAATAAAAACGAATTTCCTAGTTACTTATTGTGCATAATTGCGAAAGTATGCGAATTTTATACTGGGCATCAACTATTTTGTACTACGCTGCCATGGCTGGTGCAGCTTTCACAGTTGGCCCGCTTTGGTTGCCACGAGGAAGGACCATTTGGGCTGCCCAATCTGCGACGACATGGTCTGGAGTTGTAAAACCAACGTGGGACCGACGTGAGCTGCCAACGTGTGACCCCTGTCTGTGCCCCTTTTGGAGCCCACTCCGTGCTACTTGGGAATGGTCGAAGTTTTAAAAATAGGTATCTGCTTTGAAAGATATTACATTCCTTTGCGACTCAATAAGCTTCCAGCTGTTCCGGTTGAGCGAAAGCCTGTGCAGCCAGGATGTGTGTTTTATGGACAGGTCGAGCGTAGAGCGACAATGCATTGACCAGTGATGTAAAGGTCAGGGAGGTGAAGAAATCGAAGCTTAATCAAGGCGCCGTCCCACGTTATTTAGTGTGCTTAAATCCAAACCCAGGAGACTACCGCAGTGCTCTCTCTTAGATCAACATAAAGAAAAACGAGGGTGGGGTTTTTGGTCACAAAACTGCCGAAATTTAGGAATCGGGGGTAAATTATTACAAGGTAAAAATATTTATTTCGCGCAGATGTCTCGTTTACCAGACTTTTCAGACAAGGCGTGGCGTCGTGCAATACAAACGAGACGATTTTCCGGTATATATGTTTTTCTATAACGTTGTTACGTTTTTGCATTTTTTGTATCAGTTCATTTGTTTTTATAATACAGGGACAAGTCCGAGGATAATCAGAAATGTGCGAAACTAATAAGAATGAGATACTGTCAACATTTGTGTGAGGGGAGTTTTTTTCGTCTTCTAAAGAGTGCGTGCATCAGCGAAACTAAACCTTCAGTAGGTTTTATGTTATGACTTAGATGTTATTAAATTTTTTTCTTGCGAGATTCTTTCAAAGTTCTTGGGTGGAAAAAAGCAAGATCATATTGGAAATCCAAAGCTCCAGTTTTCCCTCCGCTCGCGGTTATGCCTTTATCAGAATTGTGTTCTCCTTCACAGACTATGTAGTTTCTACGGAATGTCCAAATTTTTGCTTTCCCGGCGATGTTCCTCGTTTTGTATTTTCTTTTAATTATCTCATTTTCAACTGAAAAACAAAAACTAAACTAAACTTTTGTTATTGATACTTTAAAGTTGATTAGGAGCACAATAAGTTGTTTTCGATTGATAGACAACCCTTGAGACAACGTAATAAATGCACAATGTGTAATGACTCGCTTAGACTCGACTTCATAGTCTTCAGATTTGCACGTAAGGTACAGCTGGCTATCGTTCTTACACAGTACGTTTGAATAAATGTTACTATGCACTGAGTCTATGGTGCCTTCATTGAGTAGAGCGAATTACGTTTGTGGCTTTTCACTCAAAAAAATGTATTTATCTTCAGATGATATATTCAATGAAGGGTCGACAAATCTTGAGATACTTTTATAAATCACGTTAAACAGGACAAAAAAATACCACGTAGCACGTTTTTCTAATGACACTCATGACACTGAACATTACAGCCCTACTTTTGTTTACTCACGGCTTCCGGATGTCGCCTATGGTGATGACGTGTTTCAAGAACGGTAGCCTGGGAGGATGCAGCGAACGTTATTGCACTTCGAAGAGTTTCAGTTGCTACATTTTCTTGCACAATAAAACTAAATATTTCAATCGTCACCTTTGGCTGCTCAACTCTCCAGGCGCCGACCTCTCCATTTCCGGTGCAATTTGGAGCAACGTCTCGTAGAAATTTGTATCCGTAAATTTATCCGCAAGGATCAGAGCCGCACTCTCCGTCTGAAAGAAATGAATGTATTTTTTTGTTTACATAATGACGGCACTAGGGGGCTAACACTCGAACTTTTACTTGTGTCCAAAAGGGGAGTTACGTTACATCTCCCGCCTGCTCCGTGATTCAGATGAGTTTTGGAGGAGGTGGAAGAAACAGCAGAACACTTCGGGACGCCGCATGTAGTTCGACTTTTTGCTTCAGGCAAAATAACAAGCAGAGTTGTCATTGTGCCTTAAGGATTCGCAGTAGTAGCATACGTTTCATTGACTGCACGCCTATATTTTATTGAGCTTGTTTTCCGCGTCAAATATGTGTATGATATTAAAAAAGTAGCCCCTGACAGGCTGCCTTTGTTTACGTCTTCAAGATGTCAATGAGATTTAATATGTCAACTATGATTCTATAGATGAGTAAATGAACTCTGAATGAGCACGTTTCAAACCTATTCCTTCTACTTTCATGTAATGAGGTAAAAAAGTGACGTATTAAAGAAAAGAAAACAAGTGAAAGCCGTTTACAACTCCCTGTTACACCGAATTAGAGCGCAGCTCTCGAGGAGGAGGAGGGAAGGGTACTGGGGGTGAAGTGACCTTGGGGGGTCACGTGACGATGCGGATAATGTCATCAGTGACTTCACTGATGACGTCATCAGTGACGATGACGATGCGGACTCCGATGACGTCATCAGCGATGATGACGATGACGATGCGGATGTCGGTGACGTCATCACTGACGTCACTGATGACGTCATCTGTGATGATGACGATGACGATGCGGATGCCGGTGACGTCATCAGTGACGTCACTGATGACGTGACCTTGCGGTGACCTTGGTTACGCCGAAGCCGACGGCGACGGCGACGCCGCTCAAGCCGGGAACGGGCCCCTAAGAGCTGCGCTGTAAAAAGTGACCTATTCGGTGGCGTGTGTGGCTCGCAACCGAAGGGTCATGGGTTGGAATCTCACCCCCGTCTAAAATTCTCTATTTAGTTTTAAAATAAGCCAAAATAAATAATTTTATAACGTAACTTCCTTGAAACATGCGGCGAAATTTAATTCGAAATACATGTCAATATTCAATGAATTTCTTCATGCGCGACGCCATGTTTCCGTAAGGGTTGTGGTCTTCTTTTTAAATTCGAGCTCAAAGTCATGTGTCTGTGACGTCATGACCCTACCTACCAATCAAGAGTTTCTCGTCCCATCAACACCGATGCCGACACCCGGCTTTTTTGTGACCCGAGCTCCTTAACGCTCTCGGGTTACAATGCAAACGCCATCGAAGTGCAGGGCAAAGCTAAGTCGCTTACACGTTTTGCCGCTTCGCTATCTCTTTTAAGTTGTAGGTGACCTGTCCTCCTCTCAGCGCATAATAAGGCTTATTTAATGTGCCGCAGTATTAAACAAGCATCAATCAACACCAAAGAATTGTGTAACACCAGCCACCGAACACAATACACTCCATCTAACAAGGAAGTCATCTATAACACAACGCCAACATGTGCGCGCTGCTATATAAGACACTCCTTGCTATAGACGAAGAAGATGACAAATGCGTGATCACCCGTTTAATCACCTTTCATGCCCCAAAAAAACTTTTTACGTGGCACCCTTGGTGGGTAGTTGATTAAAAAAATAATGATACGAGCAATGGAAAATAAAGAAGCAGAGGCTAAAGGGAGAATGCATATAAAGTAATAGAAGGGGAAGATGTAATAAAGCATTTGGCAGCAGACCAGCCGTCGGTTGGCCTTCATTTTCTCCCGTCTACCTCTCTCGTTCCTTTGTTCAGCTGGTTTCACCGGAGATGTATAATAACCAACTACCTAAGTTCATTCCCGTTGCGACATTTTATTTCCGTCTAGAGAATGCTTTGGAAACAATGCAGTGACGCCATTGCCACACGCATTGCCTTGCTAGAGCTTCCGCGCGCCTTCCTTTCACTTTCATGAGTGTAGTGCATACTTATTGGCGGCCAAAGCTGTGTGCTCGACTGCTGAGCGCGTTCTGATGCCGGGCTTCCACTGTTTATTTTCGACGTGCATCCCGCATGATGAAGACTCCCGGTCTTAGCAGCCTACTAATTTCAGCTCGCTCCGATCATGCGCTCTAAACAGCGGGCTAAAATATGGTGTCCAAGGAAGCTCCCGCAACGTGTGCGTAATTATAGCTTTGGCAAGCATGAAATTGCATGGGTTTTTTCAGCATAAGCAGAGACGTGGCGGCGGCCAGTAGCCTTGGTTACGATCGTCTATGTGACCGGGGCCGATGCGGCAAGCTATTCCAGAGTACCTATCAGTGTCAATTCAGTCCCGCGTGACCTAGAGCTCCAGCAATCATAAGGCAAACCTGGAGAGTGGTGTGCCCTCACTCTTGGATTACTTCTAATGCCTTGTAGCGTCCGCATGATACATCTCAGCAACGCGTCCTGTACAAAGGGGTCTGACAGGTCGCTCGCTCTCCCATTGAGGCCGGTCTGCCATCGTGTTGCAGACAAATGCCACGCGGTGGCGCTCGACTGCCTCACTAATAGCGCGTCCACACTGGAAGCGGATTCGCGTTCGCGAAGCGGTTGCGGATGCGGTTCGCGAGCGACCCCGTTCAGACACACCGAGAGGCGGTTGGCGTTTTCTCGGAGATCACCCGTGATCTTTTGAGACTTACGTTTTACAACCCTATTAAACAATCCGAAATCCACTTTAATCTACGATCTAAAGCCAACATTTTGCTTCTTTGGCACTTTGAAGATTTTTCTTCTGGAGGTTCGCACGCATTACGAGTTCAGGCAGCGAAAAAGGAGACGTGGACCCGCGAAACTTGCCTGCGATTCCCTCGACTTCGCCCACAAGCAAAGCCCAGCTAGGCGCGCCTTGCTGACTCATATGAGGATGCCCCCGACCTTTTCATCGAAGTGGACCCTTCCCGCATGAACAGGCGGACCTTGTCCTCGGGATAGAAAGCCACATTCCCCCCTCGTTGTCCGCTCTTAACATTTTCGAAGTTAAGAGTGGTGGGGTGGACCGTCGTGCGGGGGAGTGTGTTTGGTGCTAGCCGGTCGTGGCTTCGTTGGCGGCGGACTCTCCTCTCGTCACTCGCACATCGATCGAGTCTACTGATCGTTTGACATTAAGCTCAAATAAACGCCGTATGGATTACCTCTGCATCGTCTGGTTCGTACACTTTATTCCTTGAGCATGTTTCCTTTATTTATTTTGTTAGTAGTAAACGTTAGAGGTCGAGTTAGGGCGGGTACCATGACGACTCCGCGGGAGTGCGTTGGCTACGCAATCAGGCTCGCGACGTCTCAATCGGCCTTCGTGGTGTTCATGCACGGTGTCCAAAGCTTTGAATAGTTCAAGCGACTATTTTAGTGGGTAGACATGCTGACGTTTCAGTTAATCAGGGATGAGTTCCGGCGTTCTACGGGCAGAGACTAACAAGGCAGTGAGCTTCGGGCTGTGGCACCCAGAATAATAAACAAGGTCTTACTCGAAAAAAAAATCGCCGGTGCGAAGCCCGTTGAGATTACGAGTTACTTCTTTTAGCAGCGGATAGAAATGACGGACGTGAACATGAGGTTTCTCCGTTGATTTGTCTGCTGTAACGCTAGGACTACAGCGCTTGAACGCCTCAGCAGCGACAGGTGCCATCTTGTTTCTAGAGCCATTGACGTTACGTCAGCGTCGCGTTGTGATTGGTTGCCGCTTCGCGGTTCGTGAAAGCGGTTGCGAAAAATCGGTCCCGACGCGGCTGGCAAAAACGCGCCCCAACCGCTTGATCTTAGCCGCTTTGCAGTTAAAAAATGCGCGGATCCGCTTTGCGTTTACGGATCCGCGTCCAGTGTGAACGCGCCATAACTCACGCTGGGCGCTTGGCGATCTCGGCGCGGCCGGGGCGGCCAGCCGCTCGCAGCAGAGCGATAATCTTATTTAGTTGAACATTCTTTTAATTTTAGTTTTCACATCGAAGCTGTTAAGGTATAGTTCGCCTACTATCATGTTCACGGACAAGCGGCGTGTCGACACAAAACTCAAGCACTTCACCGTCACCCTCACTCTCGTACGACGAGGTGAGTCGTCTATAGCGTTCCGTGCCGTTTCTCCCCTAATGCTGTCTGCAATGGACGTAAGCCGGTCCAGTGTGCTGTCGTGCAGCCTCAACTTCTTCTCCGGCGTCCGCGTGAGCGGCCACATTGCGTTCGTACCATCGAGCAAGCCCCGTGATTGGCGCGGTTCTACTAGAATAAAACGTCATCGTCTCACGTACCAATTGTTTGTGTACTGTGTCCCGCGACGTTGAAATCGCGCTATCGCTCTTATCAGTTGCCCTTTGGACACACGATGGGTCGGCCGCGTGCCGTTCGTTTGGAGGAAAAAGAGCGGGAGCGTAAGAAGGGGCGACGCGCGCAGCAGCGCGATTGGCCTCGCAAACGCTGCGAAGCCGCTATCGCCTTGAGTTCCACTGCGTCGAGTGGTTCGAATCCCTTGCGAGAGAAGAGCAAATCGCTCGCCTAGAACGCCGCCGAGAACAGAAGCGGCGATGTGACCGGCGCCGTCAGGTCAGCGGACGTCGATCGTGCCACAGAAGCCAAGTGCAAGCGCGAGGCCCGGCGACGACAGGACGCCACGCCGGGCCCTGAAGGGTTTTTATAAATACTTCAATACCAGCATAGTACAGCTTCGCTGGTCTTCCATCTTCGGCAGAGTGGAAAGGCTTAAAATTTTTAGTTTACGGTTTAGCATCCTCTTGAAGAAAAATACAAAATGTTTCTCCATAGCCCTATAGTCCATAATACCAACAAAGACGGAGACGAAAGTGATAATATACCAAAGAGTTGTTAGAGCTGCGTAAGTGTGTATTCATTTTGTGTGCGTGGACTTGAGTAAGTTTTTTGCGTGTGTGCAGCACAGCATGTAATTCATAGCCTTTGCGGTGCAAATGAAAGCTGATGCAATCGGCTCTCTTTGCACTGTTGAAGCTATGGATGACACTGCACTATTCGATTC